TTCGTCAAATTCCAAAAATTATTTGTGCGAGAGGTGTCATCGTTGGTCCAATCTTTCTTGAAACCCCTGGGCACCAGGTCGTTTTGGAACATTTTCACCAGATTAGTAGTCATGTGAACAACGTCATAGGCTTCCTCTCTAATCCAGTTCATGGTCTTGACCAGTTTAGGACCAAACAACACTTTGGGACGTTGTCTGTCCCCGAATTCATCGAGGAACGTGTCGGTGTTATCCAGAATCAAATCATTTCCATCCCATTTGAACACGGGGTAGTATTTTTTTCCGTCCGGAGCTCGTAGACTTTCACCTTCGTGATCCATGTACCGGGCCAAGCGATCATGCAAACGATTGACGATGTATTGCATGAGAGATTTACCACTCGTCACTTTGTATCTGTCTTGGTGGAGTTCCTTCCCGCTGATGCTAAATGACACACGGTAACGCGACGGGACCCACGAACCATCGGATGTCCTGATAAACGTTTCAATGGTCCACTCAAAATGACACAGGAGATCCTCATCGTCAAAGTTGTGCGTTCGATGAGTGGGCGTTTGATGCGGTCGTGCAGCGGGGATCGGGTAAGAAATGCTAGCCAACCCCACTTTCCACTCCTTGTCGTCGAGCGTGAGTGGATGGGGCAGACGATTCTTGAAACTGTTGGCTTTGTTGTCGCGGAACTCCGCCGTGCTGGCATTGCTCATCAACGTCACGTAAAACTCTTTCATTTTGTCTTTTTCAACACGTCCTTTTTCTCCAACCGACTGTCGTACTTGACTGGCCAACCTTTCCAACGTACCAAGACTCTATCCCCTTTCCGTTTGACGATCTTGTCGATACGGAACAGATCGTCGTCTTCCACGGTCACTTTCTGCAAATCTCGCGCCTAAAACGTTCCCTCGACTGCCGTACCATCCCATTCTTCCACCTTGTAGGTGGGAACCTTGCCCGAACGCACCCCTCGCACCACAAACACCTCTTCGGTCCACCCTAGTAGATACCCTTTCTTGAACTGCCTGAACTTCTTGTTGAGTCTGACGCGATCCCCGACTTTGAACTGAGGTTTCTTGAATTTGCCCTTTTTACCGTAAAGAGTCTCCCACACGTCTTGGCTATTGGCCGAGGTCACTTGATCGGGAGCCATCTNCGTCATCGTCAAAGTTGTGCGTTCGATGAGTGAGTGCTTGATGCGGTCGTGCAGGGGGTATCGGGTAAGAAATGCTAGCCAACCCCACTTTCTACTCCTTGTCATCGAACGTGAGGGGATAAGGTAGACGATTCTTGAAACTGTTGGCCTTGTTGTCTGGGAACTCCGCCGTGCTGGCATTGCTCATCAACTGCACGTACAACTCTTTCATTTTGTCTTTTTGAACACGTCCTTTTTCTCCAACCAACTGTCGTACTTGACTGGCCAACCTTTCCAACGTACCAAGACTTTATCCCCTTTCCGTTTGACGATCTTGTCGATACGGAACAGATCGTCGTCTTCCACGGTCACTTTCTGCAAATCTTGCGCGTAAAACGTTCCCTCGACCGCCGTGCCATCCCATTCTTCCACCTTGTACGTGGGAACTTTGCCCGAACGCACTCCTCGCACCACAAACACCTCTTCGGTCCAACCGGGTAGATACCCTTTCTTGAACCGCCTGAACTTCTTTTTCAGTCTCACGCGATCCCCGACTTTGAGTTGAGGTTTCTTGAATTTGCCCTTTTGACCGTAAAGAGTCTCCCACACGTCCTCGCTATTGGCCGACGTCACTTGATCGGGAGCCATCTTGATACTACGATGATACGATCGGTTGTACCCTTTGACCAGATCTTGCAACACGGGCACAAAGTTCAACGTATTCTGCACGGTAAAGTACTGGTACAAACGTTGTTTCAAGGTCCGATTGAACCGTTCCACCACACTGGCTTTCGTATCCCCACTGGTCGAAAAATGATGAATTCCCTTCTGTTTCATCAAAGCCTGAAACGTCTTGTTGTAGAATTCCTTCCCATCGTCCGTCTGAAGATTGATGGGTTTTCTTCCGCCTTTCAAGATCTTGGCCATCGCCTCCGTCACCGCTTTTCCCGTCTTGTTTTTCACGGGTTGGACCCAGGCGTGCTTGGAAAACACGTCCACCACCGTCAGGAGATAACGATACCCTCGATTGTACTTGGCGATATTGACCACATCGATCAAATCGGCCGTCCATTGCTCGTCGATTCCGAACACCATCACGGGTGCCGTGGGAAACCGACGACGCCTGGGTTTGTGCAACGTGTACCCCAAATCGCGTTGCAAGACCTCGCGAGCTCGTCGGACGGAAATCTTATTGGCCTTAGCAAATCGCGTCAGACCACCCAGACTACCGGGTTTCAAAGGATCCCGATACCGCGCCAATAACGTGCCGGTCGAAAGGTTTTTTCCATTCTTCTTAGAATTCTTCTTCATAATCGCCAAAGTTTGTAAACGCACTCGCTCCACAACTCACAACGTTGCTCCCGGACGTCGAGATACTTCTTAAATGAATCGGGTTGCTGTTTCAACCACAAGATATAAAAGACAAAACGCATCACGTTGGGCCCGACATTCGTGTAGTCCAACACCTCCAGAGGTGAATCGCTGAAATAATCGGGAACGGGACTACCATCGCCGTATCTCGCATAGACTCTCTCGCACTTGGAACACAGCGTGTACCAACTCCACCGATCGGCTATGTTCGCACACACTCTCGACAACCACCAACTCAATGCATGAGACATGATTAATGACTCAACACAATTTTATTTCAACTTCTTATATAAGTACAAACATCGTGTCTGATTGGCGAAAGACCTACTGAGTATACACTTCGTCCGTTATTTCCATGTTCTTAACATCTTTCAAATACTCTTCATCATATTCGTCCTCGAAGGACTCCCAGGAAAAATGTTTTCAATTTCTCCACAAACATTCTCCTTTACCGGGTCTCCATTTCAGGGCTTCCTCTTCGTCTCCCTTCACATAAAACGCCTGACGCATCTCTTCTTTACAAGTCCCACACAGTTCGTCCTCATCAGCGTTAATGGCACGAAAGAAAACCGCTCCTTCCACATATCACGTTGATGCATGACGTCCTTCATCAACCGTTCCAGCTTCAGGCAGATCTCCCTGTAATCACTCTTGTTGAAAGTTAGCAAAGACTTCACTCTGGGACTCTCGTCTGCCTCCATCACCCGTCGTGCCAGGGCCCTACCGAACCCCAAGGGTTCACGTAGATCACGGACGGCTTCACGCATCATGTACGTGATGTTTTGGGTGGCAATCAAACAGGTACGATCCGCATCCATGACGGGTTCCCGATTACGAACAAAGCGAAAATCGTTCAGCCTTGGTCTATACAGCACACGACACCACTCACCACAAAACAGATACACTTGTTCATTCTTCTTCATCAACTCCAGAATCGTACCACACCAGTCCGGGCGACGCCTCATCAACGTATCGAAATGTCATGTACCCTCGGGTAATCTCCCTAACGGTTCAAAGAGATTGTCAAAAATGTACACTGTCACGTCTGACATGGTCTCGAGAGCGTTCAAGGGTTTCACCTTCTCTTCCACAATCTGCATCACTAGTTCCCGAATCTGGTTAGAGTTGTTGTAGTAAGTCATTTTGACCAAAACACTATGTAATCGTTAAACTTCTTTCCTTCTCGATCCAAGCGCTTCGTGATCTCCAACTCCAGCAAATGCGGATGGTGACTTCGTGTACCCCAGTCAATCAAGTGCCTCTGAAGCCTATAGTACAAAGGAGAGACGATACGAAACTCCAAGTCAAATATCTTATGAGACAAGGGTCTTTCGCCTTTTTCTTCGCCCCTTTCCAAACGCTCAGAACATAGGTTCAATTCTTTTCTCAGATCTTCAAGAATCTCTTTCACGTCTGTCTCATTCAAAACTCTGGGTTGACGAGTCATCACTACACAAGTGACGAATGCAGCGTACGCGCGCGCGCGCCTTTTATAGCCGAGCCGCAATCTCCACTTTTACTGGCCACGCGTTATTCACCACCAATCAGGAGCCAGAGTATGACATGGCATCTGATTGGTCCTCGAAAGGCGCAAATATAATCGATCCACGCTATTTCAAATCACACACATTATTCCATAGAGACACTCGTAGGTGTCATGACTTCCCTCGGTGAACCCAAAGAGGTACCTCATATCGACCCGAATGATCCGTCCGGTAAATTCGGACCAGACGGTCACATCGACTACGGAGCTTATTCCCCCGCCAAGTATCCCGACAAGCAGAAAAAAAAAGCCGCTCGCAAGAAACTGAAACTGGATATCCCCAAGAGAGAAGAAGGTAAACTACAATATACGTTAGACCGTTGGCTCTTCCAAACACGCTCTCGTGTACGTTACAAAAAACGCGTACTCCTCAAAGAGATCACACCAGACTCCGTGCGTTGAACCACAGTACCTCTCAAAGGCTTCTCCGAGCCATGGAGTGCCTTTTCAAGGAAACGACAACAAGTCAAAAGTGAATGAAACGTAACCATTACTGGCGAAGGCAAAGACCGACTCCCAAAAATGCGCGAAAAACCACGCACATCCTGGAAAGACTGCTACGAGAAAACACTCGACTGGGATACTAACTCTTTTTTGTTTGCTCATAGACTCACATCCACCCACCATTCAAGGCGGACTCATGTCATTAGTAGGACTCGACAAGTTCAGGAAAAACAACCTCGTAAAAGTGCCACCAGAAGTGGACGACAAAGGGGAATCCACCGAAGTGCAAGTGTTGGAGGAGTTTAACCCCGATCAGTTCTTGGACCAACTGAAAAAACAAGTTCACACCTGCCGGCGTTGTTGGGCGCCCATGCAATTCGGGAGTGTGCAAACCCCCGACAGACGTATCTGGGAGTATTACCGGTGCCCCTCTTCCAGATTCTTCACCATGTGTTATGTGACCTGCGGAGCCAGTGAAGTGAGCGCCTACTTGCAACGCGTTGCCGAACAGACCCACCCCTGCTACAAGAAAATAGACCCAGCCCGTTTCCGTTGTCTGTGCAACAAGTCCCTGGTATTGGCCACTTCACACTCGGTCAATAACCCAGGCTGACTCTATCTCAAGTGCCCCAAGCGCACCTGCAAGTTTTTTCGATGGATCGACGAACCACCCCGAGGAATCGCCGAAGCCCAGCTGATCCACGGACAATGATCCCACGTTTCTCAAATGTATTAAACCATTTTGTTACTTTTATAACAAACAAAATTTACTCACATTTTGATCAACGGACAACGATCCTACGTTTCTCAAATGTAAAACCATTATTTCACATTTTGTTAATTACAAAACATTTATTCACATTAGATCCGTCGTTTCTCAAATGTATAAAAAACATTTGTTACTTTTATAACAAAATTTATTCGCATTAGACCCGACGTTTCTCAAACGTATAAAAACATTTGTTACTTTGTAATAAAATTTATTCATATTAGATCCGACGTTTCTCAAATGTATAAAAACATTTGTTAGTTTATAATTAAAAATTTATTCACATTTAAATCGTGTCAATTGAGATCTTTTACTCGCTACGCACTCCTCAAAAAAAAAAATTGACGCGCGCGCAGCTGACGACTACCCCTGAACTTTGACCTTGACGCACGCGAGCCCCGGCACCTATTAATCACCACTCAAAATCATTGACGCACTCTAAGCGCACAACCATTTTCTGAGCGCGCTTGGCCCCTTTTCAATCATAAAAACCATTACATCATAAAAACTCATTTGCCGCTACATGATAACAGCGCCACCACTAATCTTTTAATTACCATCAAACAATCGCTGATGACCCTTATTTGGACATTTGACCTGCGACGTAGTATTTTTATTGCTAATTACCGCTGACTTGTACACTATTTAGGCAAATGCTGCAATCTGATTGGTCGAGAGACTGCCACGTCATTTTTTGCTGCACGCTGATTGGTTACCGCTCCTATAAGCGTCCTACACTACTCTTAATGGTTACACTTCACCTTGTACCTCCGATGTCTTGCAGCAGAAGACGATAATCTAGACCAGAAATACATACATACATACATACATACATACATACATACATACATACATAAACTTTATTTGAGTGTCGGAGTATTTAGCTA